TGTGGTCCAAACCATAGCATTTATAACACATTTACATACTCATTTTTACAGTGTGATGATGCCAGGATCATTTACACAGGAGGTTATAATACCTTAAACAAATGCTCAGTTTTGATGCTTCTGGGGATACATCTCTGAATTTTATGTCTCTTAGTTAGCCTTAACTTACCTGCCCTTCAGCATACAGTTAAGAGTCAGACTTTTTATTGTTACTTAATAGAAAACTTTGCATTTTACTGCTATTCAAACAATATTTTATCACAGTCTTAATGTTTTTACTTTGGCCAAAGACCTGGATTTGTTTGGTGGGCACCAAAATGTTTTAAATGCACATAAAATAGAAGATCACTTGTAACATTAACATGAAAAAAATACAAGGCGCCTTAGTTATAATAGCTGCGTATTTGATTGAGTAATACAGTCATTAAATTAAAATACTATCCATATGTTACTATAAAACACTTATCAGCCTTCATGTGACTGCAATGCTGCAGCACGATGATTTCATCACTTTTATGCAATATCTATTAGAAGTGCACTTGTTGCCAAGAACGTGTTCGCAAATTCTCCGCAACCGCAATAAAATACAGAGGAGGACAGAGCCAATAACGATCAACTCTGATAGATTATGACCCTGGAAGAATACGAAGGCCCTTCGACCGACGCAATCGCAGTTATTCACTTTAAAAAACGCGCAGTTTAATCGCACGAGCCCCCTTAAAATTTCGCAAAGGCCTGTTACATAAAGTTTGTTATAGCACGTGTTGCTGCAAATGTTAGTTGCCTTGAGCTTAGTTTGTTTATATCTGCACTAGATTTTTTTTAATCACTGCCTCTTAAGGCTGGATATTACGTATTTAATTTTAATGGTTAAAACTGAAGACATATGGGAATCTGATTTATGTAAGGGCACACATATGTGTACGTTTGCAGCTGATAAGCTGGTAAAACGCAATAATCATCTTATATACCAGTTATAACATGTTTGCGATAACTGGGAACAGTCTAGAAAAACGTATCTTACAAACTCGGTGATTGTTACCTGAAAATGTTTTTAAGAAAAAGCATAAAAGCAGTATTAATGCTGTTTTCATTCTGTAATTAATACCCGTGGTCAACCAGCTAACTGGAAATTTGCTATGTAAAGGTGTAAATGTAAAAAGTTACTGTTTAGTCTGTCTGAGGTAAAAAGAAAACGCAGGCTTTATATAATAAGTGAGGAGCCACCTTTCCTTAAAAAACGTTAAAGTGTAGGAAAAGGACGGAGCTTCTTACCTTTTGGACGGAGGAGAGTTGGACTCTTAAAAAAGGACAGCTAGCGCTATTTGAACTAGTTTAAAAAAATAAATCAAAGCTCACAGAGGGGACTTCCACAAAAACTAACGGCTCTACTTGTGAGCACAGATGTAACTCCTCTTAGCCAGTCCCTCCTCGTTTCTGCTACCTCCGCTCGTGGCGTTTCACTTACATTGGGAGCTCTCCGACCCGCACGCGAACTACCCACCGAGCGCAACGGCCGCTACACGTGCTAGAGCGTGTACGGAGCCGCGATTGGCTGAGCCCAGAGCTGCTCTTTTCCTCATTGGCCGAGAGGCTTGGCCAATCGGCGGGACGCACAACGTCGGTTGGTTGGTATAAGCGTTTGGATCCCTCCGATCCTTCAACGGCCGCACGTGTGGTAGGTGTGGATGCAGAGCGAGAGGAACAGCACGAGGCAACTGGCATCTAAAATGTTGATATGCAGATTGAGTCACATTATAGAGCCAACGCGTAATAACAGACCACGCTGCTGGTCCCCGCGCGCACACGCACATACACGTACACACACACCTCTACACTCTGGAGTCTTCTCCTTTTTCAGTGGGGGCTGCACCCCCCTCCATACTCTCTCCACATTCTTCCAAATCCGTCATGTTACTTAACTGAAGCTCTCCAATAGGCTTGCATGTGATGGACCAAGACACCCACGTCACTTGATTAACATCATTAATCAGAGAGATAGATAGAGAGAGACATGCACAGTTCACAGCAGGGTCTTTCCGAAGAAGATTAATATTATTTAAAGGGATTTTGTGTCAGTCTTGCGTTGATAACTTGCTTTCTGGGGTCACCTGCCAAGATAACACCTGAACATCTTCCATGCATACAACAACAAACCAAACCACTAATTGGGAGATTTAGATTTAAATAAGCATGCGATAAAGGTCTATTGAAGCAACAACATAATGTTGGCTTCAGATTACAGTGCAATCTAATATAACCTTTATTAAAATAAACTCTAGAAACAATCATTTTATTTATTATTAAGTTAATGTCAACAAGCTGGACAAGATAAGAAGATGTGGCAACATAGGCCTATTAAAGCCACAGAGGGAGAGAGAGAGAGCCCATTGGAAGGCAGGCTTACATAATTATGTAATAAGATATATGCTTGAGGAGTGAATCACTTGTGTCACATGCAAAAACAAGGGCTGTTAACCTGCAAGTGTAGGTGGGTTTAGTTGATTAAAATAGCTTTTGCAGACAAAAAACAAATGTTTATGATGATTTCGGTACAACACGGGGAACAGGTGAATAACATTAGAGGTGTGGCTTAGTGAAAACAAGAGAGTGACATAGAAAGCATGGCACAAGCCAGATTCAGCACTGCCACAACTCTGGGTGTGGTGGAGGGAGTCGAATAGAGTTCAAAATATTTTATTATACCGTTCAAACAAAAGTGATGCAGTGCCATTGTGAACAGAATGCCTAAATTACGTAATTTAACCTGGACCAATGAGAGCGCAGAGTTCCCAGGCAGTGCGTGCAGGTTCTTTATACAAATCAGCAGATCAGTAATGCTCTTTTTATGGCACATTGTCGGTATCACTCTTGTCACACTGGTTTGATTCATGTTCCTAAAGTTTGCACAGGTACACTTAGTTCCAGACTTTTTGATTGCGACACAGGTACTGTAACCATGCAAACAGCACCAGCCATCAACTGATAAAGAAACCGTGCAAACAGTGGAGCCTACTGCCAGCAGCTGTCTATGCAGACATCTGAAGAATTATAATTGAATCAAGGATGCAGGTGTTCAACATATGCATGAATATTCTAATAGCTTTGGCCAGGCATGTTTTCTTTAAAGCTTATGTATATGGGGCTATAAAAGTATTTGACACGAGCTGCACTACAATCAGACTTCTTAAGTGTCACTGTTGGCTGCTGGTTCAAATTAGAAGCCATGGGTGGCAACATATATTATTCTAAGTGTTGACATGCCCTCTGTGCAGTCGATACTTATGAGTGGAAAGGAAGCTCGCAGTGTGTTTATGTTGGGTGCAAGCCAACAAAAGTGTTTGCGCCTGTCTCGGTGATATTACTTTACCAAGTCTGCTGGATGCACAGTCTACATCATAAAGAAAGCCACAGATTAAACCTTAAAATAAAAACTGAACTATGGGCCAATCACCTATTACTTAATACTGCCTGTACCCCATCTGATCCACCTCAAATGTTGTTGGAAGAGCTATTCTCTTATTTTGATTGAGCCTTGTTATCTATTACCAATGTCCCCCAAGCAGTGACTGCTGCCTGTGCGTAGTTATACGTGCCCAAATACACACAGGCGTGTTTGTTTGGCAATCTTTGTAATAACCAAACATGATACCTCCCAAACCCTTAGCCTAACCCAGGGATTCCCGAGAGGTGTGGCGAGGCCTACTGGTTTAACTTGGAGCACGTCCAGGTATTCCTTCGGATCTTATAAACATCCTGTGAAAGAAACCCCCCGATCCAATGTTTGACCTAGTCCTGCAGTTGTCGACTGGTGGGAGTTTTGAAGCAGCAGAGGTGGTTAATAAAGGTGGTAACATATCAATATAACCACCTTTGCAGATGGCTCCATTCAGTGTGGAGCAGCAGGCCTACTCTGACCTTACAGTGCAATCAAAAGAACCTAGGTTAGATATGATTCTTCCTTTTATCATTCCTGGGACAAATAATGTCAGTTATTCACTAATGTTGTTTTCAAAGGAGTGTACTTGTGACCAAATACCCCGGTTTACTCCAAATCTCCCCTGAAAATAACATCAGCCCAAAGCTGCACGCTGGGAACTTCATGGCATGGTTTTCATGACTAAACAGCTCCTGTAGGGTGGCCCAAGTAGTATATATGTTTGTAGCTATGCAGACACTCACTATTTTAATTTGGCCATGTTTTACACATTACTCTGCCAGCATGGAGTTAAAACTCGCAGCATTGCTTAATAAAATGACCAGTAACAAACTGTAGCTTTGGATAATCTGCAGGACAGTTCCATGGGAACAAAAAGTAGTTCCAGTTAACCCTCCATAACAGTTACATTTTTTTCTGCTTTTGAGGGAAATTTGTAAATTCTGTGAGGATTAGAACCAAAATGCTTTTCACTACTGTTAGATCCACTAGTCATACAAATTAGCGTATCCTTTAAAAACAGTTATGTTGTGAGGATAGTCAACCTTTTACAGTGTGAAATATACGCAGGTCATCTGTCAGAGCTCTCCCCTCAGTCCTCACAATGCCACCCACTGCCTGAAGACAGAGTACAGGATATAAACATGACCTGGTAACCTCTGAGACAAGTAAGTGTGGTGAAAATGTTTAACTTTCCCTGTGTGAGTGAGGTGAGAGCAAGTGCACACATCAAAGCCCCCTGCTGGAAACAGCCGAGACAGACGTGAGCGGCCGACGCGCCTCGCTTAAGCAGCATTGCAGGAGGTGGCCGACATTGTCGGTGGACATTAACGCCACACTGTGCATTAGTGACCTTGAATTAATTTACATTATGATGCTGCTGAGCCAAGACCTCATTCACACACACACACAAAAAGCCAAAGCATCGGCAGCATTGTTTCCTTCAGAAAATGAGGTCGCGTTAAACTACTTCCCAATATATGGGCAAAAACATCACCCAATACACACAAAGCAGAGTTTACAGAATACACCAGTTTGTTATTCAAATAAAAGATCAACTGTGATAAGTCCTAAGTGTCTAATTTATTAGAAATGTTCAAAATGGAGACAATTACATCCCATCTTTTGTGTTTACAATGTGACAACATAATCACCACTTTTGTCTGCGTTTGCCTGGTCCTTTAGGCTCAGGCAGCAGCATTATGTTGGTCTTGTTTGCTTCTTTCAGCTTTGCTTCCCCAGTTTTATCCAGTCCATCATTCCTTTTCCAACAGGAGTCATCTCCCTAGCAGCCGAGCCAGGGATCTTCTCTGTTTGTCCTGGAGATAAAGGCAATTTTTCTGGCCATCTCCGTGTGGTATATACGCCTGCAGTTCTCAAAGTTCTTCCGCTGTCGTTCTCGGCAGGGCTTCTCGTAGTATCGTTTGCGCTTCACTGTGTCAACAATGCCATCCTGAGTCAGAATCCTGGAGTAAACAGAAAAAACGTGTGAATAGATTAGACTTAGTAAACAGAAAGAGCAGTAAAAGGGACACAAATGTAGTCCCAAGTGCATCGGTTCCTATTAGATGTCAGCCTCTGCTTATAAGTGCTTAATATGCTAAAACCATTACATTTTTTTTTTTTTTTTTTTTTTTTTTAAGACTAATCGGTAACTCACCCAGACAAAATGTCAGAAGTACAGCAGAGAACATTACGTTTTCAGAGTCTGAGGGCATGCAAACACAGTCAGCTTCTAATGAGACTGAAGCACTGATTCATGGGTAAACTGTAACCAGAACTGCACCTAACCACAGCATGAACCGTAACTGGCTCCCAGCCATAGGATAAACTGTAACTGGGACGTAATGCCAAGATAAACTGTAACTTGTTCCTGACCACAGGACAACATGTACCCTTTAAATATGTATTTAAAATAGTCCAAATAACAGAGAGGACCAAAAATAAATAGATCTTGAAATGTTAGTCCTTCAAAAAATTGTGCGTGCTCTGTTTTTGGATCCAAATAAACATTTAAAAATGAATCATCTTGAGCCATAAAATCTATGCAAAAATAATGTGCAAAAGTCTTGGGCCACCCCTCATTTCTTTATATATTTTGCTAGTAAAATGGAGAATAGTTGCAGTGATTTACTGACCATTTCTCAGCTAAAAGGGCAGAAGGATCTCTCAAGTTCTGTGTCAGGTCTTTGCTGGATTTTTTTCAATTTATGAAGGACATGACAGATATTCAGATATTGTCCATTTGCTGTAGATAGGTTTATAGGCCTGCAACCTCTCCACTTTTTAAAGAGGACACTGCACACAATGTTGAGATATGCCAATTTTCTGGCTAATTGTGCTTTGTGACTCACCTTATTGGAGGAAAAATACATTTTTTTTGTGTTTTCTTTGCCATTTTCCATAAAAGATAAAAGTTACTTTTCAGTTGCCCACTTGTCAAATTTTAGATTATTAACATGAAACTGAAGATAAATAATTTAAATATCTATCTACCTGTATATTAGGTACCACCTGTCTCAACATTAAAATGAAGAAAAAGAAATCATTAGTTTAATTTTAAAAAAACCAAACATACAGAATTGATCAAGGTGCATAGTGGACTAATTTAATTATTTTTGTACTTTTACTCCTAGAACTTTACATGTAGTGTTTTAATTTGGAAAAGCGCATTTTACAGATAAGTACTGCTACTTTTAAGTTACTTTCAGATCTAAAACCTTCTTCTACTACCATGCAGTACAGTCTTTTAGCAGTTCACTATACAGACTCTTGTGCACTGTAACACCATCTGTATCGGGGCAAAGGACTCTGCACAAAGGCTGGAAGATCATGGCTAATGTCTTTTAAAATCAGTCCTTAACACTGTATTTATTCTTTATGATTTTCTCAGGGGTCACACAGTTAATTCATGGTCCCGTCCAAAACCCCACTCCCCACCGAGAAAAAAACTAGAATTCTCCCTGCTT